CATTGTTCATTTTTAATGAATTTCAAATGGTCTTAACTCAAACACTAAGTAGCGGAATAGAAATAGAGAACAAATAGAATTGCTCGCACAGTTTAATACCGTAATATAGTATCTTACTTTGTGGTGATCACGGTGACAGGCGGCTTATTTGGATCGACAGGTTGGAGGCAGATGAAATCATATATAAATGCTGTTCACACGCTACTTTGCTCTTCCATTAAGAGTCAGCACGCACAACGACAGGACCCTGGAACGCAGATGCACAAATGGCCTTCAGACACAATTAATGTTGTCAGTTACACGTGTGTGTTTCCTGTCAAAATGTCCGCTCTGAAAAATGAACAGTCATGAAGAGGCCAAACTATGTGGCAGGCAATTTTTAAAGGGGTGGCGAGACCACCACCTCTTCCTTTAGTGCCTGATTGGATGCAGAGGCATTGTGCAACACTCCATTCGTGCTGTGAGCTTAAAACCATTTAAATTAACTAATTCTGAGTTAATTCAGAATAAATGATTTGAGTCAAGTTGAAATGTCCGTTTATGGCACAATTTACATTATCCCTGTTGCTGCGATAATGTAACAAGTTCTTTGGACGTACAGCGGATTACTAAATACGCACACAGGGGACGGTGGACCTCTCGGCCTGCAGACAATAATGGAAGAAAGAGAAAGTACGCACAACACAGCCAATAAATGCATTTTCAACAAATTCAGAAACTAATCCTTCCACCAAATCATTAGCAAATTGCAAAGATTTAAAAGCTGTGTCCCAACTCAAATTCCACACCCTTTGTATCAAATGAGCTATTTTCATTAAGATCCCTCCAGACTTCTGGGAGAGAAGAGAAGTGCTGCTTCGTTAGGCAGTTTGAAATCAATGCTCAGACAATAATTCAGTTCCAGCTCTCCTCTTCAGTCGAGGGGCTGCATAAGAGAATCACAGCAAGACGGATGGTCCATTTCACTGGGATCATTGCCTTTCCTATTGATCGCCCACTGCGGGTTTAGCCCGAGTCCAGGCGCTGCTGAGGAGGTATACGTAGCAGCAGTATAGGAACATAACATGCACCCACTGGCCCGAGCAACAACCCCCCCCCCATCCGACCAAACAGTGTGGTAGTTTGAGCCACGCGGGCTGATCAGAGAAGCATTTTAACTGAACTAAAAAGTGCCATCAGCTGTTCTGTGTTGCTTACTTTGCTTTTGTAGTTAGAATGTTTTCCTCTGCATGTGCATGCATGCTTCTTTTGCCAGACTGCACCCGAGCTACAGTCTCCGCCTGGTCCGATAATTGCCACACAGCACGTCTCTCTCCGGACGCCGGCTTATTTACAGTAATGTCTGGTTTTGTTGTCCCTTTGTTGTGTGTAAAGGAGACTGTCCGCTACAGTGCCCACACCGTATTGAGTAAGCATCTGAGATGAGTCATAGCCCTTGTAATGGAAATCCATTTAGCTCGGACTTGAAGTATAAGTCTGCGCGGGGAAGCGTGGCGTCACGCTGAGCTGAGCTCTTCAGCAACGGAGGGACGAGCGGGACACATTCAAGGTGAAAAGAACAATCAACTAAAACGAAACTAAAGAGCGTTTGCAGCTGACAGGCACTTTTTTAAAAAAAACAATTGACTTTTTTGTCTATTTTTTCACAGTAAACACAGTAAAAACCTGGCCTCGGGAACCGGGTGTCCTCAGGTTGTCTATTCCGAAGGAGAAGAGCCACAGAAGCTCCAGAATATGAAGCAAAATGCAGATCAGTGGATCATTAATATTTACACATCCTTCAAGCCAGGGAGAATTGGATTCTGAAGCTGGCCTTTTAGTGTAATATATGCGCTGTGGCTCTTGATTGTGACGTTAGCGCAGCCTGAGAGGCAAACTGTGAATACATTTGAAGTGAATCTTTTAATGGAGACATGAAAGAGAGCCGGTGAAGGTCACTCTCTCAGTGGTGCTGCGAGCTTTTGCACTCTCTTAAAATGTTTGAGTTACTTGAAATGAATCAAGACTTGGCTTCCCTTCCGAATGGGAAGTTGTGCATTGTGCGATTGTGCTGTTTTCTCCTTTTCCACTGGAAGGGCTCAGTGTTTTCTCTGGATGAGGGGATCATTACGGTAAAAGCAGAAATGTCAGGAATGAAGCATTGCACAAACATTGTGGAACAAAGGCGTTTGATATCACTAAACTAGATTTATCTAGTAATAATCTGTAACATATAAAAACAATCAAGAAAAAACACCAATAGTTAAGCTATCATACTCCTACAGAGGTGGACCTGAATGAGTAATGAGCTCTATCACCTTTTCATCTCTTTGTTCAACTTGTATTATTTTATTCTCTGTGTGTGCTCAATAGATGTGATTCATTTACAATTCTGGGCCCTATCAGCAACCAATGTAGTTCCAAGTCCTTCAAGGTAAATGTGTCCCTGACCGCTGATGTGTGTAACATTACCTCCCAATGACGCAGTGATAATTAGAGATCAAATAAATAGATGACAGACCACAGATGGATGGACAGAAAGGTAGAAGCCGCGAGACCTTCTCATCCCCCCTGAAAGCTCCTCTGCGTCCATTTGGAAAAAGTCAAAACATTAATAAATTCTGAAATATTTAGAGGATAAACATATGGGTCCACATTGGCTACTGAATAAAATATGCTCAATCACAGTGATCTCCCTGTGAAAATTGCTCCCCACATTGCCATTCACCACCATCAGAGAATCAGAATACATTATACCGCCTCTCCAGACACCAATCACCCATTTACACAGCGCCGTTTGAGTTGTACATCTCTGCCATTCTTTTCATTTATGTGGAATATATCGTAACCTTTCATTCTAAACGGAAAGAAAGCGGTGTAGCCACAGTGTCTGTGGCGACGGCACCTGTCGCACTGCTTTCCAGATGTTCCACTCTGACGTCACAGAGGCATCGGTTCTTCTTCAGCCGCTGATTCTCCGGTATCTTTTAAAGCCAGACGTTGTTACTGCAGCTCTGGGCCCGTGTTCCCAATTTACTCCAACAAAGGCTCAGACGGACCACCATAAAAGCGTTTCACAAATCACACACTCCCTGTGAAAGTGTCTGCTTGTTTAGAGCATATTTAGGACCACAGACCAGAGATATTGTCACAAAAATTATTGTTTTGGACTTTTTCTAAGGATGAAACAAAACAGATGCATTGTGTTCATTGAGGTTAATAGGCGCTAGTAGGCGGACAGAGCTAATCTAAGTTAAGCTAAATGGCGGCTCGGTGCATATTTGAGATATGCGAATAGCATCAGCCTTCTCATCTAACTCAGGAAAGTCAACCAATCTGTACCACGATCCCTTCAAAATGACATCAATATCTGCATCCATATTGGCTCCTGCTAAATAAAAGCGACTAATGACTCCCACTTAAGCGGTGATATTGCATCCAACCTCATTGGTCAGTGGAGAGCGACGAAGCAATCAGGCCAATGGCAAAAAAAACCTTTGCAGCTTTCCCCTCTCGGACTGAATCTGGGTTTACTGCAGCTCTCTTGCTTTGGGAGGAAAAGCAGTGCCAGTCGGGCTCTGACGGATGCAGGGAACGCGGCCCACCGTGTGCCGTGCTGCGGCCCGGGGTGAAGGAGGAGCAGTCGGCTATTTCTTGCCTTCTCGGCGTGGGCACCGGCAACTTAATCACAGAGATGCACGGGCCGCTCTCCTTCTCCGATTGGCTGAAGCCGGATAAAGAAGCGTGCTCCTCTCCGGCCAAGAGGCCGGGCCCGGGCCAAAACCACAACTCAAAAGAAATAGAAAAGTGCTACATTTACAGGCATTTAAGCCTTTCGTTGGCCGACTGCAGACTTCCACTAATCTCTCTCTCTGCCACAATCTGCCCTTTTTGGTTTGGATAATGTTCCGGGTATCTTGCGAAACCTCGGTTCTTGATTTCCAAAAAAATCACAACTATCGGGAGAGGAAAAGTAGACCACAAACTCGATGGTTCGATTGAGCCGTTTATCATAGAACTGACATCTATAAGAGCGGCCCTGGTCCCCCCCCCGACCACAATATCTGATTCAAACACACTCATGTAGAATATGAGCTGTCCCCATCAGAAAAATGACCTTTATTCATCCGACCTTGAAGGAAATGAGCCACAGAGGTGGCGAGAGCGCGAAGGAGAGTAACAATGGCGCGCCGACTGCTGACGGACGCAACGAGCTGACAGGAGTTGTGGAACGTCGACAGTGAGGGGGGAAAGAAGAAACAGCAGCCAGGAGTTAAAGGAGCGCTCCAATACCATCTAGTGGTGGTTTTTACACACACGAGAAAGAGAAAAGCCACAAGAACAAATGAGTAAGTGCTGAGAAATTAAAAAAAAACAAAAACATTGCGAATCAGATTTGTATCCACCGCAAATTCGTTACGGTTTGAAAACTGATACCTGTGCATTTGCTGATTTATTATTCTATGAATACATGAAAATGTTTAATGAGCCATGTTGCCACATGTTGGACATAAATCAAAGCTACCCTGCAGCGCGGCCACTGAAGTGAATTAACGCCTTGGTTTGAAACAGCAAGTCAGTAGCTGGTACACCTCGGACACGGAGGCCTTTAAACACACACGGTTCCACGTCAACGAGAGCAACAGTAATGCAGGTCACAGGTGAGCCAGGGCCTCGAGTCCCCGCGAAGGAGGCCGCTCTGGATAGAAACACACGTGTGAGTATTTTGGTAAACACCACCATCTCCTGGAAAAGACAAGAAACACACCAGGATCCACAAGGGACGAGCGGAGGTTGGAGTCACGTCACGCACGTGCGAGGTTCATCTCCCGGTAAGCAGAGAAGCAGCTGGACCTCCGTCTCAGAGCGTTAGTGTCAAAACAAGTTAGCTAATCAATACTTTTTATTGGTTGGTGATACATTTTCATTCAACGGCATGGAGATTTTGAATGGATTACTCTTCCAGGAAACAAATAGTTGTACACTTCCTATTGATAAACACCTCATTTAGAACAGAAAAGTGATATTTAATAAAATTCTTTATTTATAAACTTGATGCAAGTTTACAAATTACTTTACATGGACAAAATCACCCTTGCAATGGGGAAAAAAAAAAGAATGAACCCAAACCAAAGCATGCTAACAGTGCTTTATAACCCGGCCACTGCGGTTAACGAAGCAAGGTGAAGAACCCAGGACGAGGCCCATTCAGACCAACATGTCGCTCGCCAAAGCAGAGAAGGATTTTGTTAGTCAGACAACGGGAGCCTTGAATACACCAATATTCCAAATGTCAGGTCAGAAGGTGTGTGGGTTTACTGCCATTCTGATGGCACGCAAATCGGGACTGCGGCTCCTGTTGGGGATCCGAGCAGGTAAAGGACATCTCGTTCAGTCCACGCGTCTCATTAGGATCTGACCTGGTTAAAATAAGCGCCACGCGGGGAGAAACCGCCCGGTGCGCTGATGTAGGGAACCACGAGTAAACAATTAATGAACAACCGATACATCTACGTCTTTTTTTAATCACCCTACCCGACCACTCTTTGTCTTCAGTAGCTCGGTGCAACACACCCGTTGGATATATTGACATGCACAATACAGCAATATCAAAGAGACGGGGTACATGTGTCCTGAACCCTCTCATCGGGTTATTCCGAGGGCGGGAGCGCACCCGCTGCTCCACATCAGATTCCCAAAAACAATTCTTTTTTTTTTTTCCTTTCTTTTTTTTGAAACCTCAAAAAAAGGGTTTTCAGAATTTAAAACAGCAAAAACATACCGCTATAGCTTTTGGTAAAACGGACGTCTCATTCAAATGGCCTCAGAAACGAAATATCGACACGTTCAATCTTGCACTTCGTGCCGACGTTCTGAAGCAATCCTTCGCAGAGTCGAGTGTGCAGTATGTATTCCTGAGTTTGCTTCTCCAGAGAATGCGGGGGGTGGGCTCGACAAAAGTGACCAGAATGAAGTGATAAGCACGTTACCGATGGCATCACAACAGCTAACAACCATGCTAACGATTCAGTCAGGTTGGGATTTCTGCTCGTGGGGAAAGCGAGTCAAATCAAAATGTCAGACGTGTGCTGAATGCAAACAGGCTGTATGATATATATATATACGTACACCCATCTGTACCGGTTTGAAAACTATCGGTGTGCCGTGACTGAGGTCAGTCTAACTGGAGGAAATTCTAAATCAACTTTTTTTTTTTTAAACAAACGGGGGAAAAAAAAACAAGGAATGACTGTAAGAATTAGCATAACTAAGCTTTCTATGCTGGTTTTCAGGACAATATACTTAAAACAATGCAAGTAACCACACAATAGAACACCCACAACAAACGTGTAACTGCATTAAATCGGAATGCTCCACACAGTTTTCTGCATATTATTCACATTACATCAAAAGACCCAGCGCGCTGAGGGGTACGGCAGCGCTGAGAGTGGTTATGAATAGTAACCAGAGAGGCGCTAATGGGAAGAGCTGTGGCAAATCGGAACCAATAATTATCGAACCCACACAAATATTCTGGAAATGGACCAGACTCCAGTCGATCTTCCCAGGTGTGAAGGTATTAGGCCGGGACTATTGCTGTGAATTTGAAAAAGAAAAATCGGGCTGCGTTTTAAAAACCAGCCGTGAGGTTGCGGAAAAGTCGGACGGTAAAAAGGTCACTTACACACCCCCCCCCCTCCTCCAAAAGACTGGTATAACTGCAGAAGTGCTCAGGTTGTGAAACGAGCTGCAAGAACTAAGCGGGCGACGGCGCTGATGAGACTCGTCTTCCTCGGTACGAGCGAATCGTCTCCTCGCTGAGGTTCCTCCGGTTTGAGTGATACGATGTGAACGGCCGATTTCTCTGGAACGCCACGCGAAGCGGCGCCATTATTGTTAAGAGGTGCTGTCGTAAGAGAAGAACGGTACTGCCAATAACAAGAGGATTAGAAATCAATATTTAAAAAAAAAGAAAAGAAAAAAAAGAACAAGAAAGGGGAACAAAAGCGCAGTAGTCATTAAGCTTACATCAGATCACGGTGAACTTTTGTTTCCTTCTGCAAGAGTATCCATGAAGCCACTTCTTTTTCTTAACTCTAAATGGGTCTTGTTGCGGCGCCCCTGCTGTTAATAGTCAAGGGTTTTTATAGTAATACAGTCTTTGCCCAGTCAAAGACCCAGACAAGGTTACATTATAAACAATTAAATCATTTTTGCAGAAATACAAATTTACATGTTTACACGTGAAGTTAAAATCAACTACATTACAGTGTGATCCCAACCGAAAACATGGCCCTGCTTGGCCTGGTCATGTTTCTTGGGCCGCCAACACACCAAACCTGTCCTGATGGGAGGGGGGGGGGGGGGGGGGGTGTTAGGAGTCGTCCAGTTGCTGGTTGAGACGATGGCGGTGGTCCCCCTCACCCCCCAACAAGAGGCTGTTCTTCATTATGTGCTGTCCCACCTGGGCTGCTAAAGTCTCCACGGGGCTTTAAACAAAAACAAAAACAACAAAAAAAAGGCAAAAGCAAGCCAGCCCCGGACGCCGCGTGATTCCCAGAGGAGGAATCTTGGCATTGCGAAGATAATACGTGAGCACAATATTACAGAGGACATCCATGGAGAGAAAAGGAGAGCGGTTCTTCCACCACCAGCATTTAAATGTCCCTCTCGGGCCACCGCTGCATCACGTCGCGGTCCAGTCCGAGGCCTGAGAGGAGGAGGAGGAGGAGGTGTCCGCAGGAGCAGCCCGACGCCACTGGCGGATAAAGTCACGCGGCACCCTTTGAATTCGCAGCCGGCAAGTAACCTTTGGCTTACCGCCAAAAACAAAAAAGGGGGAGAGAGAGAGAGAGAGCGCGCAACGCTGAGCCGATTGTTTTCCTGGAGGAGGGGGTGAATGTCGCAGTGGGAAAAGCCGATTTGTCAGACAATAGACGTACAGAGATAAATATTGAGGAGTAGCTGATGAGCTTGGATGTGCATTTCAGGTAGATGTGTGTCTGAGTGAGTGAGTGTGTGTGCGTGCGTGCGTGTGTATGTGTGAGCTAGTTTCTGGGCGGACACTGAATGAGGAATTTGGTTTGAAGTTCAAACTCTCATGTTAGAGAGCCAAATGGTTTCGCAGGATAAAAAAAAAAAAAAAAAAAAAAGATATTGGTCACAAGGAAAAAAGGAATCGAAAACATGTGGTCCCAACGCAGGAAAGGGAGGAGTCCGTTTTAGCCGTCTTCCTTCGGAGGGGTGTACCAGCCTAAAAGGGGGGAGGGGCAAAAACAAATGATGTCTATTCAGTCAAAACAAAAAGAAAACCATCAACAGTCCTCAGGTCTCCACCACAAGGGGAGTCATGGTTACACAGCGGACATTAAGTATCCGTCTGCTGCTGCTGCAAAAAGGGTCACAGTCTTCATCAACACCCCCAAAAGGTTCCGTGCACTATTGTTAGGTCAGAGAGATACAAGTGTGCACGAGTTATGGAGTTTAGTCGGTAACAGACTTTAAACAGAGTCACGGGGACAGAAAAGACCAAGTAACATGGTTACTGTTGAAGTAGGAATCTCGTCCTCACAGGCCTGTTGTACTTGTATTACGATTATCCTGCTAATTACTTTACAAATTTGCTGTAATAACAACAACAATGGATGTCAATGTCGTCCGTGTTTTGGAGATGCACAACGGTACAAGCAATCATTTCCCTCTGCTCTGATGCATCGGAGGGATTTAGTTTCAGTAAACACGGTCAGTAATGCGCACCGCAGGAAAGGGGAGACAAAAGCACTCACCGTTCTTTTCGTGGATCTGAACCAGGGATTTGTAGGACTGCTGTGCTCGGGCGAGATTGTACTGGTTCTGTGGCACAAGAGGAAACATGGAATCAACCTCGGTGTGCACTGAGGTTTATCACCAACTGAGTAAACAGATCAGGAAACAGCAGTTGATTGTTACTGGTGGCTGCCCGCATCCCTTTCACTACATCGGTACCTGCGTACCGTTCGGCACACAGATCGGGTCCAGTCGACCTCTGGAACACGGTCAGACCGTACGTCCCCGTCCTCCCGCTGCGCGTCCCTCCCCCACAGAGAGCTAAACACTCAACAACGTCGCAATGGTTTGCTTTCCTGGGGCCTAAATGGTGGAATTATTCAAACTTACTTAAGAGCACTTGATTCTTGTTGCTCTGGTTCTGTTCCCTCTTGATTGAATGCACTTATTGGAAGTTGCTTTGGATAAAAGAGTCAGCTAAATGAAAAATGTAAATGTGTATGGTACGGCTAACTCTTTGGGTTAGGCTGCTTCTCGCCTGCACCTGAAATGCACTTCTATTTGAAACAATACAGCATTCTACATGTTACACATTGTGTGCGTTACGCAGCACACCGAAGCGCGCAAGTGGTTGTGAGCTACACTCACTACACCGCCTGAACATCTGTGTCTACGTGAAGCTGCTATGCTGCTTCGATATGTGTAGGAACTCAGGAACAATATGCATGTGGACATGACAAACTTAAAATTGGTTGCACATTAAAACATCCTCGCATTTAGAATAGTTAAATAAAGATTGAGAATAGATGAAAGGGAAACACATGAAATTAACTAGCGGAGGAATTTTAACCAATTTGCAGCCATGAGATTGAGACATGAAATATATATATATGTTAACGAATTAAACTCTGGGAGAAGCCCGATTAGGATTCATTAAGAGAACAGCACAAAAAGATAAGCATCTCCCTCAGTTCTCCCAGTGGTGACACTTTACCCTCAACCACACTCCCATGGGATAAAATAAGAAAAACACATATTATCAGGTTGGGCTGAACAAACAGAAGATGTTCCCACGGGATAATAGAACCCTACTTAAGAGCAGGGACACTGAACCAGGCCTCTGTGTCAAAGCGCATTTATTGTGGTCCACAACATTCGCCGTGACTCTTGAAAACTTACTTTGTTGGCTCCAAACTGCACTCTGGCTTTTCCTTTGACTAAAGTGGCATTGATCTGCATGATGACAGACTCAATGGAATAGGCACTGCTCCAACCCTGCACAAAACACAAAACTCAATGTCGACAAAAGTAGTCTTAGAATATTACATACATATGCCGCAGTGCAAATTTACATTCATTCGCTACTTGAGGAAATACAGTACCTGTTTGGTGAGAAGTTCCATGCACAGGGCACCTCCTCCAAGAACGTAACTAAGCAAACACAGAAAAAATAGGTATGACAAAAACATAATTAAGACTCAAGTGAGAAAGTGGCCAATGGGGATGGAAGAGACTGAAAAGCGAACCAGCCAAATTCACTTACCCTCCAGAAAGCACAGGAGAAACCACCCGGACAAACGGGGGATCAAAGGGGAAATTATCCTGCAAAACAGGACCAGCAAAAAAAAAAGCTCCAGTCACAGACTGCATAGACTAAAATGTTTTATCTGTCATAAATGTAGAATAAAATGTACTCACTTTATATGAGAAGTTTAGTAAAATGTAATCCATTCCTTCCTTTTCCTTGAGGACTTGTAAATCGCTGTGTAAGGGGCTATCTGGATCCACCCTGCAGGTCGGTAAACAGTCAAGTCAGTCAGTGTTTATGCTGACGTGGAGAAAAATAACACACGACCCAAAACCCGGCCGTTACTTACGTCCTCAGCTTGATGTGCCATTCATACAAGCTGTCGTTAAGCAGCTCGACTGAATAGATGCCTGCAAAAGAAATGTATTATATTTGGGTTCCCAGAATTCTACCAATGTACAGTCTAGTAAAAGGATCCTGTCTTCCGTTTCATTTTATAAAACTGACAGGCGATGCAGTGGGGCAACGCGTAAAATGTACATGACTGATGTCCCTCCACTGTCTACTGTCTAACTTCTAAGCAGCATGGCTCTTGTACTACAAAGTCGGATGTTCACCAATACTCGTCCATCACATCCAGTGAATAGAACAGCCGATACGGTTTGGGAGGGTTTGTCGTCATGCACATGCTTGTTTCTGGGTCAAGTGCTTACCCGTCTTGTAACTCTGAGACCTGTAGATCTCTCGAAGCTCCTTCATCAGGCGGTCAGAGGCTTGCACAGAACCAGACACGGCTCCCTGCAAAATCAAAAACAACAGCTGTAACAATGCAGACCGCCAACACAGCTGTCATCTCTACTTAACACGGGCAACAATCTATGTACAATAGATCAGAGGTTCCATAGCTTATATTAAATTGCATTATGAGACTTAAAAAGATTTACTTCATTGAATAAATACTTACATTCAAGTGGTCCTGCCTCTGGTTCTTTCGGATTTTCTCCAGGATGGCCAAATTCTCCTTCTCGATGCCATCATCCTCGGACTTTTTCCCGTCCACAGGCTCCTCCTCTTTCATCTCATAGTGGTCCAGGTCTTCTATGTCCTGTTGTATCATATTTCATAATTTAGACTATTTCAATACTTACTGGAAACACAACAACACAGTGCAGGAATCCAAACCAAAAGATGTGCTAAAATGCGCTTGTTCACTAGAATACCATCGCAACAAAGCAAACATTGATTATGGAATATGAATATGCAGGGTGACTAGAGCATAATCAAATCAATATTTGCTGTTGGGGTAAGCAAAGAGGATAACTCACCTCTCCCATCTCCTCCTCCTCCTCTTCTTCAGATGTGACCTCTTCTGTCCCATGCTATATCAACACACACAAGGCATTAAGTGATGCTAAATAAAGTAATGTGAAACAGTCTCCTGAGACGACTGGTGCTCTTGTTTTACATAAGACCTTCTTTAGCTGATCAGAACCACAGAAAGCGCCTACTGATCAGCTAGCAGAGCAACTTCACAACAATCACCAAAGTCCTCAGTTGTGTAGGCTGCTATTTCGGTACTGATAAGATACGATTGTGTCCAATTCCTTAAAAGTGATCAAACGCGTCCTGGCCGAGCCAACTAGGCAGCCTTGCCTTTCGGTCTTGTGCAACGGGTCCTGCAGGCAGGGGCTGGTCGAGCATCTCCACATCTGGATGTTGGGGAAGGTTGTACAGCCGACAAAGATCACAAATGAGTTTCTTCAACTGCTGCAAAAGCTGTGAAACACAAACAGGAGGGGATGAAGAGTTAAACAAAGCATCCAAGACTGCAAATGCAGTTAAGCAGCAATGCTATGTGACAGAAATGTGACAGATTGCTTGTGTTACATTTATCTGATGCTTTAAAAAAAATAAAACAAACAATTATCAGGTTGGTCTGAAATTATAAAGCCGATCGGATTCTGAATCTGCTTTACAATCTCTACACAATACAGAATGACAGCAGTCCTGGGATTTATTATATAATTCTTACAATCCTAAACAATTTCAATAACATAACAAAGATATATATGTTTTGTAATCACAGGACTTAAAACTTGTGATTATACAAAACAGAAGACAGGGGATGATTACATCATTCGCAGAGTGCCGTGTTTATGGCATTCAACCTTAAACTGTGGAATAATGTACTAGAATCTGTAAATGTAGCAATAAAGTTAGGGGCCAATTACTCACACATGATTATAATGACGGGTTTACACACGAGTATACTGACATAGTTTGCACTCTCTGACAATCATGAAAGTGCCCTCAGCTACCGTGTTGCGCCTTTGCAAAATGTGGTGCAATTCAAATATACGGTCTCTCGACAACATCTGTGCAAAAGTAGAACAATGCATTGATCTTATCTATGCACGGGAAGGTATGGCGTGTCGCTTAAATAACAGAAAAATAGATGTTAATATAGCAATGTAGACTAATTATCATGCAAACTGCAAACAACCGTCAAAAAACCTGACAACACTTCTATAAAAAGCACATTTTGAATCCTACAAAACAGAAGCATGAATAAGTAGGATAAAGAAGCTCAGGGTGTCACAACACTCGTAGGATTACATAACAATCTGCTCGTCAGAGCCACATTTTGACCTCAAAAGTCGTCCCAGTGATCTACTGTCAGTCATTTGCCGTGCTTAAAACATGCCTGTTTGCAATCGCCAGCTAAGTTTGACACGTTCAACTCATTCCAAGTCACACACCTTTATGCAAGGCGTGCCGCCCGTTTTGTTTGTGCTTGAAAACAGAAGAAATTCCACATAAACTCCAAGTCGTGTGCATCGTGTGAAGGCGGCACTAAAATGAGCATAAACCCAATACTAAGCGAACTGAGTGATTCGATGGAAGCTGCCTCACCTAATTACTCCACCTCCCTCTGATGGAGCTCAACACAGCAGACCGGCATGAAGCCAATAAAATGCACAGAAAAAGGCTCCTGCATCACTGGGCAAACCCTTGTTAGGCCACGCAATTTAAATGAAGTCCAACAGAGTGTTTTTCCTCATTCCGGCAGACGTATCACTCGCATGGAGGTCAAGACACAATGTCCGCTCGTCATTCTTCTTAACTCGAAGCCAACAGCCGCAGCGCGTGAAGCCCGAACGTTGTGTCCCCGTAAGCATCCACGCAGAGGTCTCAACGTCCACCAGGGAAACTAAAATGGTCAGCTGTAGATCCTCACTTAGAGGGCACAGATCAGCCAAATGTTCCTCGGTGACACATAGTGGAAGAACCAAGAGAAGAATGAGGAGGAGAAGGATACCTACCAGGGTGCTGCCCTTTCTCACATCTTCCAACCGCTCCAAAACTTGCGCCAGACTCGGGTCATCAGAGTCCACAAACCATATGGGCGGCGTAGATGGATAAGATTCCTAAAGACAGTGAAATCCAGCAACAACAACAACACAAAAATAAATAATCGGATCGTTACATCAATACATCTGACCTATATTCACTCGCGTGTCGCAGGGCTAAACATAGAACCAGTACATAACGTTAGATTTGACTTAGCCACATTAGCATTCAGAATGCAGCGTTAGCCAACAGACACGGCTCATTCTTAGTTATTTGTTAATGTCGCGGTGTTAAGACAAAAATAAATCCCCCATATTATGACTGCGTAGGTCCCGCTGACACCTAAGAAACTACGCAAAACCCGTCCCGCATAGCGTCAGATTGTTTAGTTGTCGGGGAGGGCTGCTACCTGACTGGCAAGTTAACCAGCTAACTTTAGCTCGCTAACGACCAACAAGGGAAGAGTAAAAAATCCCGGCACTTGTGTTATAACTTACCGTTATATTACAGTGGATAATTAATAGTTTTTCCCCAGTTACATTAAACTGGCAGCTCAGTTCGTCGGGCTTCCAGTCAATGATCCTGAATCGTTCGTGGTTTGGATCAAAAATGGACTCCAAAAACTTCAGTTCGGCCTTGAGCCCCGACACCGACATCTTCCACGCATCTCCGGCTGGGCCGCTGGGGAGGGGGAGAAGTCGGGACTTAGCCTTTAGCTAACGTTAGCTAAAGCCACAACGCAGATTTCTGTGCAAAAAAAATGGTTCAAACGTGGCAAAGAAATGTCGGACTGTCCCGGCAGATGTACCTGGAGACCCAGTACCAGCTACGAAAGCGCCTGGACAAATTAAAGCGATTTGCTGGTTACGGTGCTAACGTTAGCTAGCCTCCAGTTAGCATTTGATTAGATGCTAGCGGGCGAGTTAGCGAGCTAGTCCGTTGTTGTTGTCTTTCCGTCTATTGTTGTTGTCAGACTATAACATACAGTTTTAGGTACTCGCGGTGTCCCGTGACCATCTCCTCACGGTATCCCCGGACTGTTTGTCATTGTTCATTTAACCAGGGTGCTGTGATCCGTTCTCCGCGATTTGAGGTTATATCCTGCTGTACGGGCAGTGTTTTTCATCCCGGTGTACAACTGTAGCTGGCCTCTTGTGGGGTTTAAAGATGGCGTCCTGAAACCTCCCCGTTCCCGCAGAATCCCGGCGTACTGCGCGTCCTCGGTATATCCGAGGGTGAGGCAAAATAAAGGAAAGTTTACAACAGTTGATTATTTAGTCAGTTATTAAAGCATGACAGTGACTTTATTGGGGTTTGATTTTTTTGATTTTTTTTGAAAACAAAGCCTATTTCCTGCATTAGGTAATACGTGCTGGAGAATAACCGGTTCACAGAACTTGGATGGAGTTGACCCTTTGTCATATAAGTGCATCTTTTTTTGCTTTGGTACCACAAGGATGAAATACATTTAATCATTCAGTGTCTGCCATAAATTAGACATTCGTAATCTTACAACTCAACATACGTCTTGAATTCACGCAATCATAACTTTCCATTTGGCCCATATACAAAATTCTGTTGCTATTAAAATTGAATTGACCGTTTGAGGCAACGGAACCGTTCCGTCTACACACTATTCTTTATTATCTGGTTTAAGTTCAGCACATGGCTAGATGGTTTCAACTCGTTAATCTACATTCTAGTCAGTAGGTCCAATGATGGCCATCTAGTACAGAATGGTCTCACTAAGAGGGAACATTAAGCAGCTTCTATATCCAAAACAAAAGTTAATTCATTAGTTGCCTACTAGAGCGTTCCTAGTCATATGATTTGTTTTTTACAATAAGCATATGTTCTCATTTTCTCAATGAAAGTTAATTCCTAATCATTCAGAATCCCTCGTGCATGCTCTTGATTTTTGCATAGCTCTGGATCAATTGCAAATTATTGGAGAATCTTATAAATGAGGCACTTATAGTATAAATCAAACTTATCATTTCCCACCATAAATAAAAAAATAAAGCTTGCTGGGGGAAAATTCACCTTTTGTTTGTAAAAAACGAAATATAGTGTGCTCACAGGGATGCAGGAGTAATATACTCCACTCTTCATCTTTCCCTAGAGGAAACAATAAAGAGTGTATCAGATCATGTCTGCTGTAGTCTCTGGTGCACACTAGGAGGTAGTGTTGGCTCAGGTTTCAAATAGTTCCAGGTTCCAGTAGGGTTAGATCATATGTTGTTGGTCATACGCTCCAATAACTGGTGGTTACGTGTTTCAGGATACACACATATCTACTATTCATCCTTGTGTATATACATGTTGACGTCATTTTGATTGTTGAATAAATGACAAAAGTGGTTTCTGTCTCCTGTCAAAGCTTTGACGTATTTTTAACTTTTCCTGTTTCAGGAGGCAGAGAGGTTCAACACCAAGCAGATGGCAGGAAATCTCAAAATGAAAGAGATATTTTTGTCCTTTCGTTTGGTTACACAGGTTTTAGGACTTCATGAAGCACACAAAACCTTAAAAGCAAACTTTTAAAGCCATCCTCTTTGTAAATGAGTCTGTTATCAGGAACGATTTTGGAGGAGCAGACGGTCCCAGAATAGTTTATTTGTTTGTCTGCCCATGTAATGAAGTATCGAATTGGAAAGCCTATGATCGTAATAATTAATTATCATTAATCTAGAGTTTTTCAACAAGTTTTGAGTAATTAAGAAGGGACATTATTTATTTCCACGTTGGCATCATAATATTACAGCCATTATGTGGAAGTACATCATTGATTGGCCGTATGAAGGGGCTGCAGAAATAAGGAAAATCAATTCACTGTATTGGTCATGAGCAAAAAAGATTATAACAAGATTTAAACGTTAAGCCTGGTCAGATAGATCGCTCATTAAATATCCTTTACTAGACTATGTCTGTTAATTCAGTCACGCTGGAATTGCATTTTCAGGTACCTATTGTTGGATGCCTGGTTATGGAATAGCAGTCATATACCATACAGACAAAAACCCACTCCACAATTTTTTTGGGATGTTCCCAAAATGTACAGTGTAAGTTGGGTTTGTTCTCTAATCAGTATTAATAATAACAGAATATGTAATTTCTTCATGACTGACATTCCCGAGTAAAATACATTATGCATATGTTGCTTGAGGCTGAATACTGATCGCAACGAAAGTATTACATCCTTTTCACTCCTGGAGAGTACGTGGAAATGAGCGGGAGGAGGCCGACAATAAGGGATCAGTGCTTATTTCATATATTTCAGATGGTGTATACAAAACATTCTTGGTAGACCTTATCATTGTTCAGTGATGTCACCAAGGCCAGTGCCATTCTTCTTTGGGGTCACAACACACCTAAACTAAGGTCTATCGTTGAATCCTGATTGTCTTTTTCAGGCCCGTTTTATGATTGAGCAGCTGACGGGCAGTTTGTCAAAGCGTGCGCTCTAATAAAGAGGCAGATTGCTGTTGTCCTTTGTGATTTATCCTGCTCTTCTGTCCTCCATCTGCACCAGACAAAAAACTTAATTAAAACCCTGCCTTGTCTCCTCATTTCATCACGGACAGCGCGAGCAAATCATCTCCCGCCATTTGCGGCCTTTATTATTTCTTTATGACAGCAGCCGGGCCGAAGAACCGGGAGGCATGAAGGCGCCATATGCCCTCTTTTTTGTCTTGAACTCAAACCTCATCATAAGACGTAAACGCATAACCGCAGACGCGTTTTATTTACGTCATCCCATTGACTTAATAGTACAGAAGGAGGGAAACCGAACCATCTGATCCCTCTTAAGCTCTACTTTGAAGGGAACTGTGCATCGGTTCGGCAAGTTCAGCTCATTAGTCCTTATCAACAAGGTTAGTAAGATAAGTGTTCAGATACAGCACTTGGGCGCTTAAGCAATGTCTTGTAGGGATTTGCGGGTGTTCAGATGTTTAACTCTGGATGGCTGGAGCCATTCCTCAAACGCCCGTGCTGCTGATTCACCACATTGAGCAGGGCAGTTTGTCAGAGGAGAGTGCACCAATCTCAACAAGGACGAGCGACATTCAATTTTCTTCTGGGGTGCAACACACGTAAACGAGCAGAGACTGAGATGGTTCATGTGCAGGACGCAGAGCCCTCATAGTGAAAGTAGCATACGCCCTTGCATCATTTACGTGAGTGACAGGGATGGTGGTTTGTTTTACAGTATTTATGTCTCAAACCAAGCGCTGGATACAATGGCTTCATTTAGACGATACGCTACTATCAGTAAAGTCTTTCTGTTTTTCTGCAAATAGGGATAGCATATAAAAGTCCAATGCACCATAATGTGAGCAAGTTATGGTCCAATAAATGCAACTGATCTGAGGTGCTTTATTTTGTGTTGGAACCTGACGAGTAGCACAGCCTGCAGCCTTATTTCCCAGGCCTAATAGGAGGGGGCCCCTTGATACTGGTGAACATTTTTTATACATTTTACTACCAAACTTTTTACACCAGTGTCTTCCAAAGTCAAAAGAACAAACAGTGAAAAGAACTAAAGACAGACACATTGAAATTATTAGGTTAATTGTCGTTTACGTACACAGTGTATTTTATGTTGTTTTGTTTTTTAAGTGTTTCTTCCATTAGCCAACAGAGGCCCATTTCTCTCAAATAGTACTAAATCAGGAGCAAATGTCACCTTGAGCTGCAGTGGACTTGCCAGAATGTCTTAATCGTCTTTTAGCTTCATTAGTAGAGAAGTTAAAACCACAGATGGAGCCAGTTTTTAAGAAAGAATCTGAAGGATATTTCAAATCATATTATATGAAAATATGACAGATGCTTCACACCGATTAGCTGTTGATGATCATTCTCAAGTTTACACCCCAGCCAGTGATGAAGCCCAAGAAGAACGGTGGCAACAGGTGCAGGAACATATCATCAATAATACCGTGTGCAGCCTTCTTCATCTCAGGATAGCCAGCTGCTCACATACCGTCATATGTCTGTAACAAAATGTCAAGAATCAATCCAGATTGAAGTCATTACACACATTGATATATATATATATATATATATATAGAGAGAGAGAGAGAGAGAGAGAGAGAGAGAGAGAGAGAGAGAGAGAGAGAGTAAAGGTGTGGAAAAAAGCCAATTACAGAAAAACATTATTGGGAAATGGTAACATCCCAAGGAAAGAAAAGCAAAGAAAAAAGCATTGATGGCAGTCGTTATATATTGTATAGTCATCAATTTTTTGTTTTACAGGATAATGGATAAATGGACTGTGTTGTGCCAATCTAATTGGATAAAGGTTATCTGTACAGCATCGCTGTTCAGTGGGATCTGTTGTTCCTCATGTGGTCTAACCAAGTAAACTGCTGCCTAATCACATTCAAGCCAAAGTCGTAATACCTTCTGGGGCACTGCTGCTCTGGCAAGAGGCAAAATGGGCCAGTGGAAAGGGTCTCGTAAATGAGTGCACCACTGCCAATCTATCCGTCCTAATGCTAACACACTTTACAGGGCCGGTGGGAGACCCTGCCAGGCTGACAATGGGGGAAGGAGGCCCAGCTTAAATCAATTAGCTAAGAGGACAAATATCATCTAAATCATACTCTGCTTAGCCCCGGGCAACGGGCCTGAATTGGATGGCACATGCAGACAGAGTGAAGCCCTAACTCAGTCCTGGCAGGCCAGAAATGGTTCATTAGGAAATATTTTAAATAAATATTGTTTTTGGCCTAAAAAAGATCACGAAAAAAGTATCATATATATATATACACTTGGTCAAAAATGTATGGACTAAAAAGTAAAAATATATTTGCTGGAAAAAAGTAAAAAAACAAAATATAGTGTGCTCACAGGGATGCAGGAGTAATGTACCCCACTCTTCATCTTTCCTCTAGAGGAAACAATTAAGAGTGTATCAAATCATGTCTCTTGTGAAAAAAATGTCAGGGAAAGTAAAAAATTGCTTTGGTTGAAAAATTATGTGAAAAAAAAATCTTTTGTGAATTTATGAAAAAGTGTATATCCATAGATAAGAATATAGTTGAGAAACTGAGTGTGGCTGATAGCAGCGACAATGCATCTGATCACAGTGGAGTAGTGGAGTCTCAAGGGGAGCAACATGCCATCTGGAATCTCGCGAACTGTGACATATCCAATTTACGGCAGCCTGTGGACCAGTCTGTAACCTCTCCGTAC